TTGGGAACGTGCTACCGCCTTCATCCGAATAGAACGCCCAATCATTATAGCTGTGTTAGGGGATTGCGGTCAGATACATCCAGGTTGGGTCGTAAGTGCAGCCAGATTCATTTGGGAACGTGTACCACTTTCCCCCGAATAGAACGCCTGGTCATTATTGCTGCACCAGGACTTCAACTTTCTCCTATCACAGCTATAATGACTGGGCGTTCTATTCGGGTAAAGACGGTAGCACCTACCTAAATGTATCTGACTGCACTTACGGCCCAACCTGGATGTATCTGACAACAATCACGTCCAGAGCTCAGTCGAAGAAGTCGAAGAAGTCGTAGTGTGAGTACGCCCCCCTTGTTTCCCCCTGGGCATCCCCTCTGTTTCACTGTGCGGTGTCGGGATCCGGGTGCCACACGTCTCTGGAACTTGATGTACAACCTTCGGAGCATTGGAACTGCAACGAAATAGGACTTTTTTTTTTAATGTTACTCTTTAATTTGATTTTTAAATTTAATTTGGTAAGGAATTTCGAGATGACTCTGAGGCAAAAGCTGGTCAGTTTATTTTTCTGCATAACATAGATTTTTTTAGATTTTTTTTTTTTTTCCCCCCAGGGACCTTCCTTAACCCTTGCCCCGCAGGGGCCGCCCGGGCAACCAAGGTGACCCGCGCTGTCCCGTTCGTAGCCCAGTTCGTTAGTGAATTACTTAATTGATTGATTGATTGATTGATTGATTGATTGATTGATTGATCGATTGATCAAGGCTTTTTTCTATTTTTTTTCAGCGCGGTCCGGTTGGTAGCCCATTTCGTTCGTGATTATTGATTGATTGATCAAATTTTTTTTTTTTCCAGACGCGCGTCAACGGAAAGGAGAAAAAAAGAAACAAACTTAACTGTCACGAGAGAGTCGGCAGGCACATACCGGAGAGAGAGCGCCCGACGTGGATGATTGATTAAGCTGATTTGAGTACGCTCCGCCTCGAGCGGAGGGCACAGATAGAAAAGAAAAGAAAAATGGGGAATGGATCGTGCGTCCGCGATGTCATTTAGGGCGCAATAGACAGGACACGAGATGCGGTCGCGCACAGCGTAGGTAGGTAGGTAGAGAGAGAGAGAGAGAGAGAGGGGAGGGGACGAGGGGAGAGAGGGAGAGGAGAGAAGGAGAGTTATTCGAGGAGATTGATCGTGTCCTCGGTAGAGCGGCCTGAGATAATACCGGGGGAACGGGGTCAGGGACCCGTTCCCGCTGCTCTTGCTGTTGATTCCACATAGATACACACACACACACACACGATCCCGCTGCTCTTGCTGCTGATTGCGGAGAGAGAGAGAGAGAGAGAGAGAGAGAGACTCGATCACACTGCTCTTGCTGCTGATTACAGGGAGAGAGAGACAGAAGAGGGAGAGAGAGAGAGAGAGAGAGAGAGAGAGAGAGAGAGAGAGAGACTCGATCACACTGCTCTTGCTGCTGATTACGGGAAGAAAGAGACAGAAGAGCGGGGGGGAGGGGGAGAGAGAGAGAGAGGGAGAGAGAGAGAGAGAGAGAGAGAGAGAGAGAGAGAGAGAGAGAGAGAGAGAGAGTCTGTCTTTCGAAGAATTCAAATCCTGACTCCCCACGTCCTTCATTGCGTGTCCTTGGGAATACTCAGACTAGAGCTTTGTTGGTTGAATGTGGACGAAAACGCGGTCAGATTAGATCCATACATAGATCTACACCGTTCCCAGAATCTAAGTATTGCTAGGGCTACCTCATTCAAAAACATGAAAAATGTAATCCCGTCTGGTGAGACATCATCCTTTCAAACACGCACTTCTGATTAAAACAACTGAAAAAGGACGCATTTCTGCTACCATCGCGGGCAGGG